TTCATATGTATTATTAATCGAGTTCAAAAGTTAAGAAATCACTTAGCCCGGATTATGGTGCCTATATGACCCAAATTAGGCAAAAGCATTTGTACTCATTTTTGTGTTTTTACTGGTGTGAAAATAGAAAAAAATATATATAATGGTTCATCACAAAAATAGTTAAAAAAAAAAACTATTTACCTTTTATTATTTAACAATCCATAATTTGCATCCCCAGAAAAAAAAATCAAATTTCTATAAACTTTTAAAATATGGCTTATAGAAATTCTATAGAATCTGTTAATTTCTATAGAAATTTTTATAGAACTTTTTTTTCCATCGAAAAAAAAGTTTTATAACAATTTCTATATAAATTAATGGACATTCTATAGAAATTCTATAGAATTTCTTTAGGCCATATATTTCAAAAGTTTATAAAAATTCTATAAAACTTTTTTTCCTGGGACAATTCATAAGTATAAATTGCAAAAATTTCAAAGTTTTATACAATTTCTTTTGCATAATCTGCAATATTGCGTAACCTGCAAAAATAAATACATTTTGACGAAAATTCATAGCAAACCTCAATAACTCGAGAAAACCTTATCCATTTTAAATGAAATTTACCAAATGCAGAGATTAGGCGAAAAAAATTTGTTAAAATTCATCTTTTGTAAAACCGCCTTTTTTTGAATTTCCTTTTAGTAAAATAGTCATAAAAATACACAACAAAAACTGCTTCGCTTATCCTCTAGGGGACATTGTTATGAACATTGTTGAACATTATTATAAATATTCTTGAAATTTTCAAGTAAATTGATAAACTTTTGGCTGATTTATGATTAAAAGTAAAGAAAAATTCTGAGTTTAAAATTTAAAAAAGTTTTCGTTAAAAAGATAATTTAGAACGCATTTTAAAATTAGTTACATTTCACATAACAGAAATATCAAATTGAATAAAATTCAAATACAACCTATAAAATAATTTTACCAACGAACTAGGTAGGTTTATATTGTTTTCAAAACGGTAACTAAGGCGTTGCTAATGATTCATTCGTTTATGTAACTAATTTTAAGTTTTTAATAAAACATAAGAAACAACATACTTTTAAAAATTTTTATTCTCGATATATATATATATATATATTCCAGAGATCTGAGTTTTTGAGATCTAAGCTTTTTTAGCCTAATAAAATGTTAGTTTAAGAAGATAACAATACTGAGTTGTAAAAAAGAAAACTTAGTTAAATAAAAAATTCGATCATATAAATGATTTAGAGGTACAGAACAAAAAGGCAATTTGAATAGCACATCTTGTTAAAGCATTATCATTTTGTCCCATTTGCTATAAAAATTATAGAAGTTCTTTGTATAAATAGATAAGAAAACTTTATTTGAGATAAATTAATATTTAGTGGGGTATCCTTTTGAATCAATAACTGCTTGACAATGACGGTAGATTGACGAGATCAATTTTTGGCATTGTTCAGGCGTAATAGCGTCCCAAGCAAACTTTATTTTGATCCAAAATTGGTCTAAATTTGTTGCAGTTGATTGATTTATGTTTTTGCCAACTTCCTTCCACAAAATTTCTATTGGGTTTAGGTCTGGTGACTATGCGGGCTACTCCAAAACATCAATCTTGTTAGCGTTATACCACATTTGGCAGTGTGCTTGGGGTTGTTGTCTTGTTGGAATTTCCAAATCAAGAAGAAGATTTTCCTCGGAATAAGACAACTTGAGGTTTTCTAGTATTTCTTTGCACATGTGTTAATCTATTGTTCCTTGAGTTCTATGCAACGGGCCCAGGCCACACCATGAAAAGCTGCCCCAAACAATCTGGGGCAGTTTTTGTGATTGTGACTGGATAGCTCAGTTGGTTAGAGCGTCGAACAAAAAGTTTAAACCCTGACAGTTGAAAGATACGAGTTCAACTCTTGCCACCGCCAACTCAGCGCTTGAGTAGTACTACGGTACGCAAAAATGTTGGTCAATAACGGACGCTACTTTAGATTAGTCTTAATGACTATTTGTGGCTGTTCCTATGCTAAGCCAACAATATCTTCGGATATAAGAACATTGTATAGAAAAATATAGAATGAAAATTTAAGTAAAATAAAAGCAATCACCTTACCACCACTATGTTTTACAGTATTTAGAGTATACCGAGGGTACCTTTAAAGTATACTGAGTTCTTAGTTTTGGGGACAACAAACATATTGTTTTCCGTCGGATTCAAAGCAATTAAACTTAGACTCGTTAGTTCAAAGCACATTTTTCCAAAAACGTAATTTCTTACGTACGTACTGTTTTGCAAACTTCAAACGACTGACGAGATTACGTTTTGAGACCAATGATTTTTTTCTGGCAACTCTTCCAAATAGCTTTTTTTTGCGTAAGCGACTTTTGACAGTGCTGACAAACAGATTGACTTGTAAATTTTGAATTTTATTGAATATATTATTAAATATTATTATATATAATATACTATTAAATATTAATTTTTGCTACACCAGCAAAAAGATTTGGTTTGGCGATACGGACAATGGCTGCGTCATCTTTGGAAGTTATCTTTCGTTCGCAAGATTTGCGTTTATTGTTGCTTAATTAACCAGTATTGTTAAACGAAATAATAACATTGATAATTTTTTTGCAAAAGCAACCCAATATTTGAGCTAGTTCAGAATTGTTCAATTCTGGATCTCGAAATGCCTGTATTTATCCTCGAAAGACATCTGTTCCATGTTTACCTCGTCCCATACTTAAAAGAATATAATTTTCGCAAAATGAACTACAAATTTAGTTTCAAAATACTGAATATAATAATTTTCTTTTGATATAATACAAGAGCTTTGATTTTTTTTTTTTAAGAAAAAGTAAATGTGGGCTATTCAAAATGATCTCAAAAATTTAAACGCGACCGCTAAAAGGGGTTGTCCATTAATTACGTCAACAAAATAGGGGGGAGGGGGTCTGAACTTTTATGACAGTTGTTGATAAAGGAAACGGGGGGAGGTCAATCAAAGTTGATGTCAACAATTTTTGAGTTTTATTGCTTAAATAGTGGAAATTTTGTAGCGTAGCTTCTTTGTATAGGGAGGGGGGAGGTAATCAAAAATTGACGTAATTTTATAGGGGAGGGGGGTTTCTGCAAATTTGAAAAATGTTGACAAGGGGGAGGGGGAGACAAATTTTCAAAAAATTTGTTGACGTAATTAATGGACAGCCCCAAATGCTCAAAACAAGCAATTTTGATAGTTCTAAATGTATAATGAATGGTTCTTTTCAAAAAAGTAAACAGTGTTGATGCTATAAAAAATAACAGCAATTGCAATAAAAACATATAACTTGATATCAAGAAGTTAAACAAACTGGTCATGAAAGTGTGCTATTTATATTGTCACCACTGGTGTATATATACACACACACACACACATATGTATATATATATATATATATATATATATATATATATATATATATATATATATATATATATACTACTTCTACTATATATATATATATATATATATATATATATAATATATATATATATATATATATATATATATATATATATATATATATATATATATATATATATATATATATATATATATATATATATATATATATATTCAGGGGCAGATCTAGCATTTCTTGGTCGTTGAGATAGCTCACTTCCGGACATGGAGCAAACTCCAAACATTTATATGTTTATACATATATCAAATAAGGATGCTTTGGAAAAATTTGCAATGATTGGAGCCTGGGAACAAAAAAGCCCTAAAATTTTAGCTACACCTGCCCCAAACGTGAGAACAACAAGTTGATAAAATATTTTTTCTGCTATTTTTAAGCAAGTATATATTCATCGATAAATTCTCAAACTCACACAATAATCTATTAGCGTTCAACATTTATGGCCTTATAAAATTTGCAACCACCTCAAATTGAGGGGGGTTAACACTTTTTATTGTCATAGTTTTTTAACGCTAAAATACTTTTGTGTAAATTTTAAAATTTGTCGATGAATATAGATTTAGTTAAGAATAGTATAAAAATTATTTTATCAACTTGTTGCCTTCACGTTTGGGGCAGGTGTAGTTAAAATTTTAGGGCTTTTTTGTTCTCTAGCTCTAATCATTGCAATTTTTTGTAAAGCATCCTTATTTGATATAAGTATAAACATATAAGTTTTTGGAGTTTGCTCCATGTCTGGAAGTTAGGTATCTCAAACATCAAAAAATGCTGCATCCGCCCCTGTATATATATATATATATATATATATATATATATATATATATATATATATATATATATATATATATATATATATATATATATATATATATATATATATATATATGTGTATATATATATATATATATATATATATATATATATATATATATATATATATATATATATATATATATGTATATATATATATATTTATATATATATATATATTTAAATTCATATATATATATATATATATATATATATATATATATATATATATATATATATATATATATATATATATATATAGTTGCTTTGTATTTTTTGACTTTATGTGGTGATAATAGGAATCAGAGATTCAGCTCTGCATTCCAGGTTGCTCTTGAAACTGAAATGATTTGGTATTGTTGGAAAATTGTTGCTATGGTGTAAAGCATTTTTAGCAAACCAAAAACAGAGAGTTGTTTTGGGAGTATTTGAATCAGAATGGGAATCAGTTTCTTGTGGGGTACCAAAAGGATTGGTTTTAGAAACCATATAAAATATATACCTACATAGAAATAGTAACTACACTTGGATGTTCATAAATGGATCAGGGTTTGATAATATTTCGAAAAAAAGAATATTAAGGTATTGGTTAGGGCGGGAACACTTCAAAAGCAGATATCAAAGTGTGTAGATGATTTAGAAAGAGTTGCTTTATCTGGAATTCCTTATCTTGTTTTGATTTTTCTATATTTAAAAGACTTAAAAGTTGTAAAAAAAATTGTATG